TTTTTAGTGTCACTTGTTTTTTAGGGACAACATGCTGTGCCGTTGACTTGATTCGTTTTCTTGTTTATCTAGTTCTCGTAATCTTTTACTTCCATTCTGAAATATCTTGTAATCATCTTCTTTTAGGGGTTTAAAACTGGAAGAAAGGACCCTGATAATTGGTGATGTTTGTGCAGGTTCATTTCATTGTTGCAGCTTGTGAGAATATGATAAGTGGATCGGGTATGAGGCATGGAGATATTGTCACGGCATAAATGGCAAGACAATTGAGGTAATTTCTTGAAGGCATACACTAATGCTGCAATAAGGAATTCAAATGAAACCCTTTATCTCGAATACACATCTCCTATTAGCAATCAGTCACAAAGAATATGTATTGCTTTACAAATCTCTCTAAACAACACTGCAAGCAACTTTGGACTCCAGGTGCGGTGACACAAACATGAAGCATCTTTACCCTGAATTTATGTCGATTGTGTTTTGCCTTTCCTAGATAACGTAAAACAATACTTTATGGTTTTAATTCACTGCAGGGCTGCGTCTTCACGAAAGATATCAACAAGGCAATGCTGATAAGCGATGCTATGGAGGCTGGGACGATTCAGAATTAACTCAGCTCCAGCACGTGGTCCTTTCCATTCCAGGTAAAACTTGAAATTATGAAAATAAAAAACTTCGTCATTCCTTAGAACCTCGAAATCTATTATCTTAATGGCCTCTTTAGCATCTGAAACATGATTTTATTCCAGGGTCTTAAGGACAGTGGAATTGGATCACAAGGAATCACCAACAGCATTGACATGATGACAAAGGTGAAGAGCACTGTGATCAATTTGTCAACTCCTTCATACACTATGGGATAAAAAGGAACCATTAATTATTCTAAGAAAGTAATTTTTCGAGCAAAATGATGTATCGGAATGACATTTGGACTTTGGAGTACTGGTTATTAGAGGATTTTATCCTAAGTTACTTTTTAAGATTTATTAAGCTTATAATGTATATGGTTGTCTATGTTCATCATCAACTATGCATCTATTTTGGCAAACTTAAAATGCCCGTTCGATTACACATGAAGGTTTCAAAGTGCATTAATTGCATTCTCGTTTCGCCTCTTGGAGTATGTATGGTCGTTTGATAGGACTTTTATTTTTGCTTGTGCTTCTCGTAGAAGAGATTCCTGGAAAAATTTCTAAAGACAAAACCCTTCTAAAAAATTATATAAGTTCAAAAGCAGTTTTGACTTTTCCAAAATTGTGCCAAATAGAACCGTAGCACACACATTTCTATTGTTTTATGGTGTTTTTGGTACTTTTGGATGGGAAAATTGGTATGTATTAGAGTATCTCCAAGAAACTATTTAAACATAAAATACTCTATTTTAAAGAGTCAACTTTAAATACTCTAAGAGACTCTTTAAATTAACATTTTAATTTAGAGAATGTGTTTAACTCTTCAAATTTGGAGAGTCAGACTCACTCTCCGTAATTAAATGCATTTAAAGTGTCTCAAATTTCAATATTTTTTGGAATATAAAGTGTTAAATATAATTTTGATTTTCTAAATTTATAGATATTCTCCAAATGATAGAATGTGCTATCTAAAAATAGTCTCTTGAATATGCTCTTATGTTGCATATTTTTCTTCCTTACAGAAATGAGGGCAATGATAAAATACTCCGGCTCAGATCGATCCCTGAGTAGGATGATACGCAAGAGTAAATTTTGAAAATGAATATTAAAAAGTAATAAATATACTAATTAAATATTAAAAATTTAAAGATAAGCTTGCATAATAGATTTGGGCAGCTTAGTTCGCTAATCACGACATTAATTAATAACTCTAATACTATAACTGATGATTCATGCAGCTATTACAATTTATAATACGATATAGACGCCAGCAAAATCTTTTAAATTAATTAAACCTTCTTGCCCACAGAAACATAATCATGTATCAGACCAGAATACCAATTGTACAATTTTATTTCTCCCTTTTATATAATTTAGAATATAACATTATCTTGCATAAAAATGTTATATTTCTTATAGCCTACAAGTTCTCACCAAGATTGAAATATCATATTGTATAATGAATTTCGAATTTCGCGTATAAAAATACAGAAATTGGTCGAGGTGAGCCTATATAATTTTAAAATTATTTTTAGATTCTAACAAAACTAATCCAACTCGACCTTATCATGATCGTCCCTCTTTCAACTATCTAGTTCGACTCGTTTTTTAGTTGATCTTATCTAATCAATCTTGCTGACATGATTGCATTTCGCCCAAATATGATTGGCTTATCGACTTAAATACGGTTGTTTTTATTAGAAGTCATGTCTTTTTTCTTAATTTATGTCCAGCTTAGATTCCAAATATGATGATAATATTAAACTAAAGGGCAAAAAATGTTAAATTCAATGAACTGCATCATCATCAAATCCATTGAATATTAGTTTATGTCCCTGTGAAGTACCTGTACTTAAAAAGAATATGCTGCTTTACTTATTCTATGCCCATACAACACTTCCATGATATCCTCTTGCAATTTAATTAATATTTTAGCAAGAAAGTCTACAAGGAGTTGACTAGATTATAGGCAAAATAATGGTTTAGTTAATTAATTTTTATTTTATCTTTTCATATTAAATTAAAAGTTGATTGTGATTATTATGAAAATCACTTTAATTTTCTCCCTTGAAACCCTCAGCCTACTACATTCCATACTCATTATCCAAGGCCAGCCTAATGTCAAATTATTATTAGACTAGCTTGTCTCCAAATAACAAACTTAGCCCTTGTTTGAGCTCCAGTATTTGAAAAAATTGATTTTGAAACAGTATTTTTTGAAGAATGCGTGGTTAAAAAGTAAAGAGATTATTTGGGTTTATGTGTAATATTATTTTATTAAGAGAATGTGTTCGATAAGAGGTGAGAGAAAAATGAATTGAAATTTAATGAGGGTCAAACATGGGCTTAATAATGAATGATTTCAAAACTACATTTTCACCATACTCTTTTTGCATGGTTTATCACGTATGCTTGGCTTCGACTGTATCTAAAAGTATGTTTGGAGGGAGTGTATATAAACATATAGGAATGAGTTGTAGAAAAGTAGATGGTATTTGTGGATTCTATGACATGGAAGTGTGTGTTTGATTGCGAACATGAAATTTATATGGAAAGAAAATAGGCAATTCAATTTCCCAAAACTTATTTATATGTAAATTATTAATTAAATGTGTTTGATTGATTTAATTTTTAACCTAAATAATATTTTTATCTATTTTTATTGGTGGGTAGATGAGAAGTAAGTGAATTGTCTAGAAAATAAAAATCACCCCTCCCTAGAAAAATGTTTTCCTTATTTTTGAGGAAAATATAATCCCATGATCAAAAATTGGAAAATATTTTTCATGAACAAATTATCAATCAAACACTCCAAAAATAGGAAATTAAGTGGAAAAATGACAATTTTCATGAAAAATAAAGCTAATCAAATACACTCTAAATGTTTATAAATACTTATCAGACATAATTTACATGTTGTTTGACAAAATTTTTGATAAACGTTATAATATATTTTAGTAAAAGTTGATAAAATGTGTAATTAAAAAATTGATAAAAGTTGTGAGTCACTGAGTCTCATGAAATGTACTCTTAAAATAATTGTAGATTTTGACTTCAACATTTTAGATTATTCCAAACAAGCACTGAATAAGTTTTTACTTGATTCGCAAAATAGAGTGTAGAACGAGCTAGTTGATTTCAACTATACATAATCAATGGACATTGACTTAGTGAAAGGAAGTAGGCAACGAGAGATTAAACATTACATTTCCTTGAACATAAACTACCAATAAATAGATAATATTATCTAATCAAGGAAGCAATAGGATTATACCTCTTCATTCGTGTTCGAACACTACTAACCTTAGGCTAAAAGAGTTGAATAAATATCGGGTAGACATTTCAGTTGGAACCATGTGAATTCGAATGGATTGATGAATTCGCTTTGATTTCAATTAAAATATAAAACTAAGTTTGAAAAGTGTTTATAAACGGTTTACATTATAAATACGTAGAAATGAGTGGTAGATAAGTAAGTAGTACTTATGAGTCCCTTAAAATGTACAGAAGAAAAATGTGGCTTGAATGCTTTTAAACATAATATAAACTTGAGTAAAACATATAAAACTCTTGTGGATTCTTTAGTTATCGATTTTTTAAAGTATTTTATACGAATAAGCAACTAAGATAAAATAATTTCCTCGAATCAGAGCAAATGATTCTGAACTTATTGTATAATGAATTTCGAATTTTGTGTATAAAAATACCGAAATTGGTCGAGATGAACCATTTAGTTGTAAAATTATTTTTACAACTAAAAATACTAATCCAACTCGATCTTATCATGATCGTCCCTTTTTCAACTATCTAGAACGACTCGTTTTTTAGTTGATCTTATCTAATCAATCTTACCGACATGATTGCATTTCTCCCAAATATGATTGGCTTATCGACTTAAATATGATTGTTTTTATTAGAAGCTGATAAATGTAGTTTTTATACTTATTTGAGACTCTAAATTATGATATTTTATTGTCTTTTGAATAAAATTCTACCTAATTTATGTTATATTGTGTTTGGTAGGTAAAATTTTATGTTTAATGAAAAATTTAAGAAAATAATGTAAAATAGTGAAAAATGGCAAAATCAAAAGTACAAGGACTTGGAATGAAGCATTAAATTAATTGGGCCTTAATTTTAAGCTTGGACTATATGGTTGAAAAGAATAAAAAAGAGGTTGTGAATGGAAGCCGCCAAAGGAGAGAAAAAGGTGCAGAAAATATATTCACGAAAAGATTGGAGGTTGAATTGATTAACATATAATACACAACAAAGCCAATTGAGAAAAAGAAGAGGAGAAGAAAGAGTCAACTAAAACGGCTGAAAGTGGGAGAAAACAAAGGCAGTTAGGTGGGAAGAAAAAGGAGAAGAGTTGCAACAATTAATATCATTTTATTTCACGCCTAGGAGCCGGCTTTTTTGGGAAGAATTCTGGGGGTGAACTTGCTTATATATACACACAGAATATATACACGCAGAGATGAGGCAGTTTCAATTTTACCCCCAAGTTTTCACGTTTCGTCAATTTTTAGTGATGTCTTTCCATTTTTTCATATTTAAATTCAACATTATGATTTGCTAAATATTTTTTTGTTATGATTGATGATGTAGCTTANAATAGGTTAATTCGATCGTTGACATGTATGAAAAATGGTTAAATAAATTAAAATTAAATGTATGATAAATAACTTAAGTGAAATCGGAAATCTTAACTATCAAATCACACAATCTTATCTATAGTTTTAATTTGAGTTGGTTATTTTATTTAATAGTTTGTTATTTTATTTATTAGAATTTCGTTTAAAAAACAAAACTTAATTTCATCATTAGTTACCATTTTAATTTAAATTGAAGTTAGGTTAATTTAAAACTTTATAGTAAATAGTAGTATCTGTGGGACGATATTCGGACTTAATAAATTCACTTTATTACTTGTCACGATCCTTACACTTGCGGAATTTCACGAACAGAAGCCATACCATTTTTCTTATTCTATGTCCAGCTTAGATTCCAAATATTATTATAATATTAAATAAAAGGCCAAAAAAAAATGTTAAATTTAATGAACTGCATCATCATCAAATCCATTGAATATTAATTTATGTACCTGTGAAGTACCTGTACTTAAAAAGAATATGCTGCTTTACTTATTCTATGCCCATACAACACTTCCATGATATCCTCTTGCAATTTAATTAATATTTTGGCAAGAAAGTCTACAAGGAGTTGAC